CCGCAAATTTTTTATGGGGTTTTACTCTGGTGACCACCCTCTTTCGAACCCCCCTACCCCCACCCACATTTAACTAACATTTTTTGGCTATCTATTTTCTTTCATCCCCATTGCGAGTCCATACCACATAAGTTGTGGTAGTCTTCTTATCTCTTGGTTTAGTGTATGTTCTAGTCTGGACCCTACTTGCTCTCTGTACATAACCATTGCTATTGCCTCTATTACTTTCTTATTTCTGTTCGCTTTTAACTGTCCTGTATGTTAATAGAAACTACTATTATCCTGTAGAATGTTATTTTGGCATCAATTGAATTTGTCTAAAGCAAGTAAATTGAAAATTCGCCCTCGCTTGAAATCATTCTCCTTGTTTTGTCCAACTATTTATTGTATTTTTTAAATCGTTTATTTCATGTTCCATTTTACGAAATTTCAAGTTAAAACTTTTAAATTGCTTTTCATGTTATTCAAGGGAAAATTTGCTGCTTTAGCGGATGGTCTATTTACAGCTATATGAAGGAATTGTAGACGTAAGAGGGCTGTAAACCATTTTTGACCACCCATCCTTCGGGGTCCTCATACTGAATAATAGCGTAGATTCTAAGAAGGAAATTGTGAACGATTGGTCACGTCCAATATTTTATTTTTAGAGAAGAGTCTACTTAAGTCTTCCCTGTTAGACGCACGCGTTTTGCCTTTTTGTATATTTTTGTAACTAAGTTTTTCTAGATTAAATCAGTGTTAAATTTGAGTTTTTATTTTAATAATCCAAGCATATCGTCGCTTACGATTAGTTTCAAGAGCGACAGTATCATTATAAAAGAAAGCAATATTTTCCACTCCTTATTAGGTATTTACATTTCTTTAATTCTCAAAGTTAAATGTCACAAATATTTTCATTAGAGCTGAATTTTTGTCGTNTTTAATGGTTATAACACGTCATGCAACCAACTATATACCCGAATGTAGACATTGAAATCCACCCTCTCCTTTGCAACTGTTTAGTTTCAACTCAAAAAGGTTAAAATTAGCGAATCTTAATGAAAGATTCTGATTTAAGGAGAACATTCTAAATATCGAAAGTATGCCTAAGGAGCGGTTTCTTCTTCATTATGTAAGGTCAAATAGTTGCAGAATATTATAATAAGAGATACATCTCTACATATGATTGCAACATGCAAAAAACGCAATTTTTGTCGTTTTTATTCGTTAATATCTTTTATTGAAATTGACTGAAATTTTACAAAACGTTGGTACTCTTAAACGGTATATCGATCAACTTTACGACATTTTACCCATCTTTTGCCGGTTAAAGGCTAGAAATAAGGAGTAGGGTTGTAACCGATTTCGGCATCCGCACCCGCAATTACGGATGATCTGCAGGAATATTAATATCCGCACACTCTCCTCCGCATCCGCACATTTAAATAGTTTAAAATCCGCATCCTCATCCCGATCCGCACATTATAATGAGAATATCTATCGGATATTTGTTGTACTACAATGCTATATAACAGGAAACATGATATGCTAGAATTATCCTAAAAATAACAAATGAAGGGAACTTATTATGACGCTCATTTGCTGATAATAATAATGATTACATAAATAAACAAAATTATCCAATTTTAAAATCTCTCACATATGTGAAAATAGACTGACTTCTCAAAACGTATCAAAAGAAAGGCATTAAATAAAATCCATCTCGTCATTATCATCCGCATCTGGAAACCTAGAATTTTAATGATCCGCGCCCTCATTCGCATCCGCATCCGCATCCGCATCCGCTAAACCACATCCATTACAACTTTAATAAGGAACAGGATTTTATGTAGTGTGGCATCAGTATTTGTCTCCAACCATGGCCAATAGCCAAAATGCCAAGTAGTCAATTAGTATATTTAGGCAATATATCTACCACGGTGCCTCATTATTTTCTCTAAATTTCTAAATAGCAATCCTTACCCTTTATACTCATTCATTGATTTTACATTAAAGGTTGAAGGTTAAAGGTTTTTCTTGTTTAAACAAATACAGTTGAGCACATTCATATCGTGAAAAGAAAACAAGTAGTCAATTACTCTCCATGACAAATTATTTATTGGAAAAACTCTCCGTTATACATGTAGTTAATAGATTATACAACTCTATAACAAAGCGCCCATCCTCTATAACGTAACAATACAAACTGTGAATAACAAAAGAAAAACTTTGCGTATGAATGAAAAAGTTATTTAATATGTGCGATTAGCAAAGGACAGAAAACAACGTAGTCCAGTTTTCCTGTAATTGTTGTTTCTCTTTGATTTTGCATAATTGGACTTTTATTTATTTTTATGTTTGTTATAGATCATGTTGTTTTTGTTTTGATTTTTAATATAAATGCTCAATAAAAACAGAATTAAAACAGCTCCGGTAGAAGTAATGGAATTAATTGCAAAACATTCTCTAATTAAATAATAATTTCATGAAGGAAACGTATAAATGATTACTTCAATTATCCTGTAATTGCGACATAATAATAAGTTGGGAGGTGATAGTAAATGACAAATAAATATTCCATTAAAGCCATAAAATATGTATGTATATTTTATTTACTTCAAAGTTAATTTTTTCGACGAAGAAACGGTATTAATTTACGACTAATTTATGTGATACTAGTTTTTACCCGTGACTTTGATGTCCTAAATACGTGTCAAAGGTCATTGAAAATACAATAATTTGATAAATTTGTTCTTAAATCCTGACCAGGACATCACGAAAAAATTTAAATTTTTAATTTTTATGGTTAGGTTAGGTTAGGATAGGATCCATACACGATGAAAGTAAATTCTTTTTAATTCAACCAATATGGTTTGCCAATATGGTTTTCTAGTCTAACAAAGCCTTTNACTATGAATATGGAAAAAATAATAGAATAATAAGCAATAATTGTATATGGTACATCTACTTAATTCTTTGGCATAGAAATTAAATAAGACTTTCACAAAAATAAATATTAGTTATACCCTGAAGTTGCGTAAGACATGGGAGCGGGAAGTAAGACGGAAATTACTACACAAGTCGAAATTCAGTTTAGTTTAGTTATAAATAATTTTAGGTAAACATGAGAGTAATCATTCATATCTTAAGGGTTAATTCTAACAACTGGAACCTACTGACATACTAATAACGAAAATTTAAAAAACACAACAAAATTTTTTGGAATATATATACTTAATCAAGGATCAGCAAAACACTCATCAAAGAGCTTAAATTTGAAATATCATTTATACTATTAATTAATCTGTAAGATTGGTTTATAACAAAAATTACTCGATTACAAAACTGATGAAAATAGCTACGGGTACACAATGTCTTTGAAAATTATCTTCTTCTTTTGAGGCTTTAACTAATCAAAGAATCAACATTACAAAAAAAATGGGCAGTGATATTTCTACCTATAGGTACTTATAGTAATCCTACACGTTGACACTGACCGATCAAAATTTATTTCAACAGCACAGAACGCATTGTGTATATTATTACAAATACTCACAAAAGGAAATAAATTCAAAACTAAATTAGAGCAAGTATTTCAAACGTAACCAAATCTTCAAGAGGCCAAAAAATAAAAAGTTATAATTATTAAAAAAAATCATTACCATTTTTTTAATTGGTTTCATGATCTTAACTAGAATTGCACAGAGGATAGAAAAAATAGCGGAAGAACTATTAAGGGAGGATCAATTTACGTTTAGGAGAAATAGAGGAACGCGGTTGGTCATTCTAGCTTTACGGGTAACAATAGAAAAACTGATAGAAAAAGGAAAGAGTGAATAGGATTTGTAGATTTAGAAAAAGCTTTTGACAATGTTAAATGGGACAAAATATTAAATGTACTTAAAGATTTAGGGATGAGTTACAGAGACTGAAGAGTGATACTTAGTTTGTAGAAAGAGCAACAGACAAAGTAGAGAAGTAAATATTAGGAACGGAGTGAGAGAAGGGTGGATACTATCATCACTTTTTAATCTATATATCGAAGACGGAATTTATATCATTAAGGACAGACAACTGTAGGGATAGACGTGCAAGGGCAAAAGATTAGTATGCTTAGATTTGCAGATGATATAGCAGTATTAGCATCTAGCAAGGAGGACCTAGAGATAGCTTTAAATAAAATGGAAGCGGTACTGACAGATCAGTACTGTATGACAATAAATAAAAGTAAAACTAAAATACTGATATGCAGGGGAAGAAAAAATAGGGAAAGAGCGAATGTAAAGATAGGAAACGAAAAATTAGAAGAAGTGGCCGATTTTAAGTATCTAGGAAGTCAGATAAGTCAGGACGAAAGGAGTAGTAGGGATAAAAAGCAGATAGCGCAGGGTCGAGCCGCCTTTAATAAAAAGAAGTCACTTTTATGTTCGCGAACGGTTAATTTACAAATTCAAAAAAGGTTGTTAAAGGTGTATCTTTGGAGCCCAGCGTTGTACGGGTGTGAAACATAGACGGTGGACGTGGCGGAAAAGAAAAGAATCGTTCGAAATGTGGTGTTACACGCGAATGATGAGGATACCGTGAATAGAGAAGGTTAGAAATAAAGAGGTATTAGATAGAATAGAAGAGTATAGAACTCTATGGAAGTGAATAAGAAATAGGCGAGATAGATTGGTAGGACACCTTCTTAGGTATAAAGGTCTAGTCAAAGACATATTAGAGGTAGAAACAGGAGTAAAAAGAGTAGAGGTAGACCTAGATTGTGTTACTGTTCGCAAATAGTTGACTATGTGAAATGTTCTAGTTTTAGTGAAATACGAAGATTATGATGATAACTGGTTTCATAAAGGTTAAGTTAGGGTTGAAAATGTTGATTTACTTTTAAAATAGAGCGTTTTCTGCATTGTACCCACAACGCAATCTGTGCTCTTGATATTTTTGGTAAACAGCCTAAAACATATACCAATTAAACACCGGCATTTGAATTGATTTTGTTGTTATCCTCGTATTTTTTCTTACAGATTTACCCATTGTAGGCCAATCGCCATGTTCTGCTCATGCCATTGTCAAACAAATCATTCAAAGAGTTATTCAAGAAGCGATAGATCTTCCAACGCTTTCGAAAGCTCACACTCATCCTGCTATCCCTGAAGACACAACTGATCGTTCGTACGAGGATTTACTAGCCACCGCAATTTTAAATAAAGTAAGTACATAAATAAAACAATCCAAGGCCATGAAGCCAATACGTTAATTAGGAGTAAGACATTAAATAACTAAAATACCAGACCTATTGTTTTCAAAATAAAATTGATCCTTGATTAGTTATTTATTAGTAAAAATCTAGATTGTGAATAAGAACGCTTCTCTAATGATTACGTATCTTGAAAACTGGAGCAGCCACAGTTACCAGAATTTACTATTTTAATTAAAAATTCATTCAGGAAAAGCCAGGGGTGTTTTTTCTGTCTGGATGAGAAAGTCAGATTTAAGACTGGCTGGACTCGCACCTCCACTCTTTCCTATCCTGAGATAATTTTTCCTTAAAGCTAGGACATCCCACATCCTTAACTATTTGTGATGGTAATTTAATGTAGGTCTATCTCTACTCTTTTTAAATCCTCTTTCTGCTTCTAATATGTCTCTGACTAGACCTTCATGCCTGAGAAGGTGTCCAACCAACCTATCTCGCCTATTTCTTATTCACTTAGAGTCCCCTGTCCCCCAGTCTTTCTAATACCTTTGCATTTCTAACCTTCTCTATGTACGGTATTCGTTCGGGCTACCCTCTGCTTTATATCCCTACTACTCCTTCCGTCCTGATTTATCAGACTTCCTAGATACCTAAAAACGGCCACTTCTTTTAATTTTTCATTTTCTATCTTTACATTCACTATTTCCCTACTTTTTCTTCCCTTGCATACCAGTATTTTTGTTTTACTTTAATTTATCTTCATACAATACTGTTTTGTCAATACCGATTCCATTTTATTTAAAGCTATCTCTAACTCCTCCTTGCTAGATGCTAATATTGTTATATCCTCTGCAAATTAAAGCATACTAATCTTTTGTCCCTGTATATCTATCTGCACATTTTTTTATATTTAATGACGTTGATCGCCTCTTCAATGTATAGATTAAAAAGTAGCCGTGACAATGTGCATCCTTGACTCCATTCCTAATATACGTTGAAAATAAACAACAAATATTAAATATAGCAAAATGTGAAAGAAAATAGGTATACGAGGGTGGATTGATAAGTTTCCGGCCTGACCAAGAAAAACAAGGTTTTTAAAAATTTTTTTTTTTTATTTCTCAACATAATCTCCTCCAAGGCTGATACATTTCTCATAGCGGTGTTCCAGTCTATTAATGCCATCTCTATAGACTGATTCGTCAAGCTCCTCAAAATAACCATTTACAGCTTCGATTACTTCTTCATTGTCCGCAAATCTCTTACCGCCAAGCCATTTTTTGAGATTAGGGAACAGAAAATAGTCACTCGGGGCTAGGTCTGGAGAGTAAGGAGGGTGCGGCATCAATTCAAACTTTAGATCGTTGATTTTAGCCGTCGCAACGATTGACGTGTGCGCTGGTGCGTTATCGTGATGAAACAAGATTTTTTTCTTCGCCAGATGAGGTCGTTTAATTTTCACCTCGTGGCTCAAACGTTGCAATAAGTCTGCGTAGTATTGACCAGTGATAGTATTACCCTTTGCAAGGTAATCAATGTATATAATACCTCTTGCATCCCAAAAAACAGTAGCCATAACCTTGTTCGCCGAAAAAATTGTTTTTGCCTTCTTTGGAGTTGGTTCCCCTGGTCCAATCCACTGTTTAGACTGTTCTTTGGTTTCAGGAGTGTAGTGGTGGACCCACGTTTCGTCAACGGTTACGAATCGACGCAAAAATTCGCTTGGATTACGCTTATACAATGACAAATTTGCGGTAGAAATGTTTTTTCGAATCAATTTTTGGTCGACTGTTAGCAAACGCGGCACCCATCTTGCACAGAGCTTTTCCATATGCAAATGTTGGTGCAAAATATGTTGCACACGTTCATATGACATCTTACAGGTCTCAGCTATCTCACGCACTTTCAATCTGCGGTCTCCCAGCACTATTTGATGAATTTTTTCGATCATATCTGGAGTTGTGACCTCAACGGGGCGTCCTGAGCGAGGCCCATCAGAGGTGCTCACACGACCCTTTTTAAACTCGGAAACCCACTGCTTAACGGTTGAATATGACGGGGAGGATGTCCCCAGTGTTGAGTCCATCTCTTTTTTAATTTCCTTCGGCGTTAACCCCTTCAAATAAAAGTATTTGATGACAGCACGATTTTCCTGCTTTTCCATTTTTACGAAAACCACAGAGGCGTCTTGTTCAGCGTGCTGTCAAACCTACACTAGCAAGGAGATCGGGCTGAAACTATAGCTACAAGCTATCCAAGGATGGTACTATAGAATGTCACCTCAAGGTAGGCCTAGTGGCGTCATCTCTTGGTTAGGCCGGAAACTTATCAATCCACCCTCGTATTTACTTTCAATGATATTTGAAAATTCTTTTAAAATAAATAATTGAAATTATTACTTATCACTAATATTAAGTTGAAACTGTTGTTTCTGACAATGATTAAAGTTTCTACTTCGTACATACAGAGTTTTTCCGTAGTACAGAACAGTCATCAATGGTGCACTTGACCAGTTTAATTAATATAAATATTAATATTAAATAACGTTTTCAATTGTTGCTAATGTTGTTTATATAGTTTTCAAACTAGAAGAATAACAAATTGAATCAATGAAGTTTTTTAAGTAGTGGATGCACTTATTTTTCCAATTGTTTTTGAAGCATTCACGCCTGACCCACTTATTGTTAGTGTTCCATAAATAGATAAAGATACTTTGTAACAAAAAAGTATACATGTATAAAAACGATTAATTAGAAAATAAATAAATAAAGGCACTTAGGGTAAGATTTTGTACGAAAACTAGGTTAAGACGTGCTGATTTCAATTTTTCGTAAACGGTAATTATAAAAAAATAAAGACCTTCAGTAAACAAAAATGTAATTGTATTGGTGTAACTAGTTCAAAACGCAAATTGTTAGTGTTAATTGATGGTTTCTACTGTCTATTTTCTTTTTGTAATGAAGTGATATCTCATAAAATACAATTTATTTCAAAATGAATGGGTACACAGCACATTTTTTACCAGAATTGAAGTAGTGTAACACAATTATTCTAGCCGAACAAAGTAATTTATCGATTTTAAAAAGGCTACTAAAACTTTTAGGGCTGAAGGTATCTGAAGAGAGTCGCGCATCGACCTGGCCCAGTCTAGGATTGGTTTTCCTCCAACGGTGAGTCCGCGGATGGAATCGTTTATAATTGGGACAATCAAAATTGACAAAGTTTGCGATAAATAATCTTTGAGAATTGACATCTTCCTTTCTATTTCCACTTGGGACTGTAGCCATTTGCTGCATTTTGAACACGCCCTTGTTAAGATAAGAAACGCTTTATAACTTCCTGGTTGGAATTATTTCTTTAAACAAGCGTTTTTGCTTTCCTAAATTCTTGAGAATATTGAAGTTTCTTTAGAATCCGATACTGACAACATGCTCAAACTTTGCTTGTCTGCATCTCTTTCTGTTACATAATAATATGTAACCTGTACCTGACATCTCTTTTCTATGTTTACGATATTCCCTACAACGTCCGTCGTGAGTAAAAGTAGACATTCTGTTAGCAACCTCTCTAGTCAAGTTAGTAAGTAGAAAGAAAGAAGAAAGTAAATGTGATTATTTTATTGCGGACTGAGCAAATTTTAAACGTTTCAACTATATCCGATGTATGGGAGCGTAGCGAGGACGTAAAATCCTTTGGTACGGTTGTATTGAAACTGTTTTAGCTTTTAGTATCGTTAGTACTAGAAGGATTTTGCATCTTCGCCTCCGCCAAGTTCTCTGATGATGCCAACTATAGAGGTTGGCGAAATATCGGATAAGCGACTCCATCTACAGGAAAGGAACCAATTTTGGACCACGGTCATCAAGAGAATCTTCTTAAAAGAACTGTATGAAAAATTGAATGGGAATATTTTTTCTCGATTACTTACACCAAAATTTCTAAGGACGAGTAAAACTTGTCTTTTTAATTTTTTTTTTTTAACCTAACCTAACCCGGTCAAACTTGCGCCATGCCACCTTGCCGTACTTTCACTTCCTTAACAAACCACATTGATTTTTTCTAATGATTAGTACCTAAGATGTAAGGAAGTAATGTTTTAGTGACGTTTCACTAATTACCTATAATTGAAACAATTTTTATTTTGTTTCTTGTGCAAAGTAGCATATAAATGTACAAATTCACTTTCACTTAACATTTAAATTACTGCTCGTTTTGCTACAACTACAGGAAACATTGATTTTTAAAGAATTTCCATATATAAGACTTTAATTAGGAACATGCCTGCCTATTGGTTTGAGAAAAGGTTTCTCGCTAATCAAGGATCAATACGATTTAGTAAATGTGTAACAGCAGTGTATTTCGTTTCTAAAATGGCTGTTATAGTATCTATTGCGAGTAAAAAGGTAATTTTAATTGATTACATTATTTAAAACGTAATACACATCACGTTGAAGGATATAAATATGACCACTAGAAAATAAAATAATTAATAGTTGCAAAAATTAAAAAAAACGATTGAATTTAGTACAAATGACAGGAAAAGTAACTACTTGTCATATCTGCAGTTTGCACAGAGTTAGATTAGAAATATTTTATGTAAAATTCTACATTTTACTTATCAGATATTTATTTGCAATAGTTCTACTTAAAATGCAAACAAAATGTGAACAAAATACCTAATACATATTTCAACAGTCCATTTCAAACGCCTTTTTCAGAAGAATAATTTTGAATATTATATACATAATAGTGTGTTTGGATAGTTCTAAACGCATTTTTATTATTATTACAACAGTTTCTATAAGTGGAGTTACCTATCGCTTCGCAGTGTTTTTATTAATAGATGGCAAAATTCTGATTGAATAATACAGTTTGATTAGACGTTGTCGTGTAAGATCTTTTTATAACAACCATTTATGAACAAAAATGAATTTTACAGTAAACAATAGAAGAATAGAATAGATTATTAATTATAAACAACAATAAAAACATCCAATTTATTTTAAGAAGAAGATTACCAGTTTTGCATTTCGTATTTTCAAAATTTGTTTTGAACGTAGACATAAATTTTAAACTTGTTAAATGAAGTATTGTTTTTGTTACGACTGATAGCTACATAATGTATTTGATAAAAATTTCTTATCACATGAAATGCCTTAAACAGTAACTGCATATGTAAATCAAAAAGTTGGTGAGTGACTATGAATATGGAAAAAATAATAGAATAATAAGCAATAATTGTATATGGTACATCTACTTAATTCTTTGGCATAGAAATTAAATAAGACTTTCACAAAAATAAATATTAGTTATACCCTGAAGTTGCGTAAGACATGGGAGCGGGAAGTAAGACGGAAATTACTACACAAGTCGAAATTCAGTTTAGTTTAGTTATAAATAATTTTAGGTAAACATGAGAGTAATTAGTAGTAGATATATTCGTGGGAATAAATCGCAAGAAGATATTTTTCTTTAAATTCTTCAATCGAAATGTGGTGTTACCGGCGAATGATGAGGATACCGTGGATAGAGAAGGTTAGAAATGAAGAGGTATTAGAAAGAATAGGAGAACAGAGAACTCTATGGAAGTCAATAGGAAATAGGCGAGATAGGTTGGTAGGATACCTTCTGAGGCATGAAGGTCTAGTCAGAGACATATTAGAGACAGAAACGGAAGTTAGGAAGGGTTGAGCTAGACCTAGATTAGATTACTGTTCGCAAATAGTTAAGGATATTGGATGTTCTAGTTTTAGGGAAATGCTAAGGATATGAAAGAGTAGAGGTGCGTGTTCAACCAGTTTTAGGACTGACGACCTTATGATGATGATGAAATTCTTTAACAGATTATGTTTTTTATCACTGTTACAAGACTATTGATATCTTTTTGATATTTATCACACAGTTTCGTTGACACATCTTACATAGATTTATTGTCGAGTAATTATATTATTCATCCTGCAATCAGGACCGTTTGTTACCTATCAAAAGTTCTGGACACATAAAGACAACGGGGTCCTATGACTTTCACAGATAATTATGTTGATAAAACAGTAAAAAGACCAAAATTCTAAATTTACTCAATAATTGTTTCATTTTTTTACATTCATAATAAATGGGCAATTGTAATATGATTTGGAAAAGTAACTCTTTTAGGATTCCCAGGGTACTGTTTGAAATTCTTTGTTTATTGAAAAGTTCTAGTTAGTAATTATTGGTTGATTTCCTTTATAATAAATAAAGATATCAGAAATAAATATCGTTTTTCGGTTAGAGAATAGATTTAGTAGGAACCAGGGAGCCCTCGTCGATCGCGAGGCCCTAGGCACTTGCCCAGAGTGCCCAATGGAAAAACGGGCCCTGCTAGCCACCTGGCTGTATTAATTATGCACTATAATTGTATTATCAGCGAACATAGACATTGCAGTCTGTGTAATATTACCTACGTTGTGGTGATGGTAGGTAACGACAGAAACAATAATAATATAGAAATTGAATAAAAAAGTAATTCAATAACTAACCATTTCCATTCAATGTATTTCTAACTCACGATCAATTAAAAAAGTTACTTATCTATATGTACCTATCTTGATACCAAATTCACATTGATTAATTGCGTATTTTTTGTTAGAAAAGGAAGGGGTAGGTACATACATTTTAGTTCCTATTATAATAATTACATTATAGGTTATTAGAGTGCTGAGTATTTAGTTAAAAGTAAAACCTATTTAATTCACGGTTCTTTGTAGGTACTTACGAATACTCTTTTGTTATTGTGAATTACAGCACATCACCTCCGAAGTACTATTAACTTTTGATCGACTACCAAACATTTTTATTTTGTATCGAATGTGTTTTTGAAGTGTAACTTCTCTACGCACGGTAGTGTAAGTTTGTTTCATGCGAGTTGCTATGTAACGAAATCATGCAACGCATTTCCTCCGCTGTCTGTCTCTATGTATGCTTAGATCTTTAAAACTACGCAACGAATTTTAATACGTTTTTTTTTTTTTAATAGATAGAGTAACTCAACAGGAAGGTTTATATATATAATATATTCATAATATAGTAGAGAAACACTGATAATTCTAGAGGTTTGTAATGTGATGTCGTAAATAAACACATTTTTTGCGCTTACATTGCAAACGCTGGCTGAACCTTACGAGGTAGATCAAAATAATGTACTACAGTATTGTACACCTTAAAAAGGTCTACAAAAAAGTCCGGGATGGTATATGTCTATCTCTTAGGGATAACCCACAATAACCATTTTTTATCCTTTACTTTTTACGAGAAATAATGGCTTATTTACGAAGCGATTTTAAGCAATACAGCATTAATCCTTATCCAATTAAGTACTTTTAAATACATTGTGCATTTAATATAGATCAATATGGCCCTTTACAGCATGTAAATTAAATGAATATTTTCGAAGATATTACAGACTTAAAATACAGGGACATAGCGGTTGCGGCGGTACCGGCCTGTTTGTATTGCCTAATGACAAAAAAGCTGTGATTGTTGTATAAAAAGACATTCTCTAGTATATTTACTATCAGCATTGCACCCGCGCGAAGCATAGTGTACAAATAATACCATTAAACCAATTTCTTAATCCCTTTCCCGGTATGTTTGTGTGTTTGAAGAAGTTTCACTTCAGTAGCGTGTTGTATAATTACACGTTGTATTTTTTTTTAAAGGTGGTACAAAGTTACCAAGATGAGTTGCCTACGTCTTCTAGAAATAGTGCATCTAGTCGATTATCTACTTCATCAAAACAAAGCAATACTAACAAGGAATACTTTTTTGGAGAAGAAAATTTGAGTTCTAAATGGAAAAATAATCCCCTTTCAAACGACACCGAATCTACTGTTAGTTTAGAAGAATGGGTACAGTCTAGTCCAGGATCACTGAATCGTATCGACCAAATAGAGGTAAACTTTACAGGCTCATTTTATAAAAATTAACTTATATTTAGTTACAATTGGATCAGACGAAATGTTCATTGAAATTATAAACTACATGGTTTTATTTAATGAGTATTACCAGATTTCAATGTGCCAATGCCGATACCACTACTTTTAGGATACCTTCAAAACTTTTCTTCCACATGAGTATATACCATATATCTACTTGAATATAAGGAATTTTAGTTAAACAAAATAAATCTAAAAGTGATTAATTTTGTAAAAATTTTTGCAAGTTTAATTAGCTAAGATGGTGTCTTGTAGTGATGAGCAAAATTGGTCTTGGTTTTGGTCTTGCGAAAATGCAAAACCAAACCCGTCTTTATACTAGCATACTAAGATCAAGATCGAAAGAACAAGACCAAGACTAAAACCAGGACCGAACGAATAAGATCAAGACTAAAACTAAGACCGAAGGAACAAAAAAAATTACTTCCGATTGTTTTGAGTTAAATAATTTGGAGCAACTTTAATATATTCTCTTCATGGAACAAAATATATTTTTGGTATTTGAGATTTTCAGTTTGCTTCAGTGATGTTACAGGTAAATTAGGAAACCTGGTACTGTTGTGGTATTTTCAATGCAAAATTGGTATGTTTACGGAATAGTTAATATCATGAGTATTAGTTACTTAAGAATAGTATTC